TCCCTGGACAAATGCTGCCCTTTTGATCTTGTATTTTTGATTGTTTCAAAGAATGAGTAATGCCCAGTTGTTACTGTTCACCTTATAGGCCTGTTCATTGTTTGGCTGAAAGTTGTGCCATAGAGTTGAGTTTGTTTCTAGGTTTGAAGGCTGTCTAAGGGCTATAGTTTGGGGGGTTCCACCAGTCTCTATTAGTTCCAGTAGTTTTCTTGTTCAGTCTCTGGGATTTTCTATGTGTAGGATCATATCATCTGCAAACAGAGATAGTTTTACTTCTTTGCCATTTTGGATGCCTTCTCTTCCAACACTTCCTTGTCTTATTGCTTGGGATAGGACTTACAATACAATATTTAATAGGAGTGGTGATAAAGGGCATATGTGCCTGATTCCCATTGACAGGGGGAATGTTTTCAGACTTTCTCAGTTGAGAATAGTGTTGGCCATTGGTTTGGTGTATATGCCCTTAATTATGTTAACCTTTTTTCCTTCTAATCCTATTTTGCTGAGTGTTTTGATCAAGAATAGGTGTTGGATTTTGTCATATGCCTTTTCTGCATCAATTGATATGATCATCTGGTTCTTCTTTTCCTTTGTTTTATTTATGTGGAAAATTACATTGATTGTTTTTAATGGGGAAACATCCTTGCATACCTGGTATGAATCTCACTTGGACATAATGTATTATTATTATTTATTTATTTGATATATTGCTGAATCCTATTGGCTAGGATTTTGTTGAGAATTTTTACATATAGATACAATATCATGACAGATAGTGGTCTATGATTTTCTTTTCTAATGGTGTCTGTGCCTGTATTTGATATCAGGGTCATGCTTGCTGCATAGAATGAGTTCAGTAGCATTCCATCTTTTTCTATGCTCTGGAATAATTTGAGGAGAATTGGTCTCAGCTCTTTTCTGAATGTTTAGTAGAACTCACCAGTGAAGCCATCTAGTCAGGACATTTTTTGGGGGGGAGTTTTTTTTTAATGGCCTGTTCAATTTCTTCTTTTGTGATGGGTCTGTTCAAGTTTTCTACCTCAAATTGTGTTAGTTTGGGTAGGTAGTTTTTAGAAATTTATCCATTTTTTCTGTTTTCAAATTTTTTGAAACAGTTTTCAATAGTATTCCCTTATTATCCTTTTTATTTCAGTAAATTCTGTTGTGACATCACCTATTTAATTTCTTATTCATGTTGTTTGCATCTTCTGTCTTTTCTTTTGTTAAATTTGCCAGAGGTTTGTCAATTTTATCAATCCTTTCAAAGAACCAACTTCTAATCTTGTTGATTCTATTATTTTTTTAATTTCATTTCCTTCTGCTTGAATCTTTATAAAATGTCCTTTCTTCTACTGTGTAGGATTTTTCTGTTGTTCTTTTTCTAATTCTTGGAGTATTGGGTTAAGGTATTGATTTTGGTTCTCTTTTCTTTTTTGATGTATGCATTTATTGCTATGAATTGTCCTCTGAGAACTGCTTTTGCTCTGTCCCAATATTTTTGTATATTGTGTTTTCATTCTAGTTTGATTCAAATAATTTTTTGTTATTTCATTTTTTATTTGTTCTATTACCCATTAGTTTTTAAGCAGGGTGTTCTTCCATTTTCATGTATTTGATATTTCCTTGATCTTCCTGTTGTTGATCTCTAATTTTATAGCATTGTGATCTAAGAAGATGCTTTGTAGTATTTTAATGTTTTTTAATTTATTAGGGCTTGCTTTGTGGCCTAATATATGATCTATTCTGCAGAATGTTCCAGGTGTGCTGGAAAAGAATGTGTACTGTGGAGCTGGATGGAGTGTTTGTATATATTTGTGATGTCAAATTGGTTGATTGTGTTGTTTAGATCTTCTGTATCTTTCTTGAGTTTCTTTCTAGTTTTTCTGTCCTTCATTGAAAGTAGTATATTAAAGTCTCCTACTATTATTGTGGAGTTATCTGTTTCTCTTTTCAATTCTGTTATAAATTTGATTTATGTATTTTGGGGCTCTTTCATTGGGTGTGTAGATATTCATCATGATTATTGGATTGACCTCATTATCAATCATTATATAATGTCCTTCCTTGTCTTTTCAGCTGATTTTTGCCTTAAAATCTATTTTATCAGAAATTAATATCACCACTCCTTTTTTTTTTCCCCTGTCATTCACTTGATATATCTTTTTCCATTGTTTGATTTTTAGCTTGTTTTTGTCTTTGTGTCGAAGGTGTGTCTCTTGTTGACAGCCCATTGGTGGGACATGTTTCTTTATTCATTCTCATACTCTCTGTCTTTTGACTGGTGCATTTAATCCACATATATTCAGTGTAATTCAATAGGTATGAATTTACTGCTGTTATTTTGCTGGGGTTGTTTGTGTGTGTGTGTGTGTGTGTGTGTGTGGTGCTGATGGTTGCTTTGTTTCATATATTTTTCCATGCCGATTTCATTTTGTTTACTGATTTTCTTATCATTTTCTTTGTTGCTAATGTTTTAGTGTTGCAGTGCAGTGAATTACTTGGTATGGCCCTTCTAGCCATGGTCTTTGTGACTCCCACCAAGTGACTGGGTGGGACTATGTAAATGTGAGGTGCTTGTTGCTCACAAAACTGATTGGACAGCTTGCTAATAATGTAAATAAAGTGCACAGCACCCTCGTAGGGGTGAGATCATGCAAATAAGGCATATGGATCCCTAACATGAGGATTGGTCAGTTTTGCTGTCCTGTTAGGTTTCAAATAAGCCATCCCAGAGGTGGAAAGAAGAGAATCTCACTATCATCAAGAAAGAAGAATCTGGAGTGAAGCATGTCCTTTAGACATGAGATCGCTACACTGAACCTCTTCAAACTGGGAGACAGAGAGCTGTTACACCAGAGATGGTGAGAAGCAGTGGCAGACAAATGGCAGTGGCAGAACCAAGAGACTAGCCAAAAAAGAACAGTGGGTTTCCCACCCCATGGAGTGAAAAAACTGAGTGCCTTTGGGTGGGAGGCTTGCTAGCAGAGTAGGATGTCTCTGGGCATTTATCAGTAGAGCTAGGCCCACTAACCCACAGAGTGAGAAGCTGAGCACCTTAGGGCTGAGGCTTACTAATGGAGTGGTGTGCCTCTCCAGAGCTAAAAGAGCTTTGTAACACTTGCCTAAGTAGGGAAGAGGCCAGGCTGAGGGAAGGGGGCCAGAGACAGACCTGCCTTCAGGCATGGCTAAGGGGAAGGTGTCCTCATAAAGAACTCTACTCTAAGCATTCCAGATCTGAATTGTAACCTTTTACCTCCCTAACAAACCCCATAATCAGGAGTATTATCTGTGAGTTCTGTGTGGCAGTTGCAATGGATTATCAAACCCACTAAAGAAGTAGTGAATCCAGGGAAGGGATGGTTGGAGTTACAATTGGTAAAAAGTTTGGAAGGTGGAGGTATGCCCAACCTCCACCTCACAGAATCAGTCTTGGGCTGGTGAAGTTGATCTTAATCCTCTTTTGCCCTTGTGAAGTTAGAAGAGGTCAGACACCCACACCACACCCTTTTTGCAAGTGTTTACTAAATCTTTATGATTTTCTTCTTTTTTATTTTGGTGATAAGCTTTCTTAATTTTCTTTCAAGTTACACTATAATTTATTATTACCTTCCCAAGTGTAAAACAATCTGTTTTATCTTGATATATCACCTTGACATCCTCTCCATTTGGAAGTTCTTTAACTACACCATTTATTCATTCTTTTTGCTTTGTAGTTGTCTTTGCTAACAAATTGATGTCTGTGGTTCTCCATTTTCAATCTTATAGGTTTATTTTATTTTTGTGAATTCTTTACATTCTTAAAGACAATTTCTACTCTTCTTTATTAATGTAATTTTACAACTAGTATTAGGTTACTTTTGTGTATCTTTTTTTTTCTTTTTCCTTTTGTAATGGCTAAGTTGTAATATTTTAAACAATTATTTCATCTGGATTCTTTTTATCATTCAGTCTTTTTTTTTTTTACTAAAAAGTATGTTGTTGTTATGTGCCGTCGAGTCGGACCCAACTCATAGTGACTCCTCCTTGGGTTTCCGAGGTAGTATCACTACAGAAGTAGATTATAGGAATAAAAATTAAGAATGGCTGTGGTAGAGGGAAGAATTCTCCAATCATTTCTAGGCCTTTTCCAGCCCTAGAAATTTAAGATTAACAATTTACATTTCAGATAATTGTTTGTCATTGTTAGGTGCTACTGAGTCAGTTTCAACTCGTAGTGACATTATGTACAACAGAATGAAATACTGCCTGGTCTTGCACCATCCTCACAATCATTGCTGTACTTGAGCGCAGGATAGATGTTTTGCCTAATTTAAAGAAGAGGAAACTGAGGCTTAATTTTCTAAGGTTTCAGAATTAATAAATGGTAGAAAGAAAATAACTCAGGTCTGTCTGATTCCAAAGGCTGTGCTCTTCACATCATTATATTATACTGTCAACACTGGACTGTTTGTCATCTAATCCTCACCTCCAGATTTTTTTTTTCCTCCACCCATTTGGGTGAATATAACACTAATAACCATGACAGTATCAGATAAATTTCATTAGAGCTAACTTCAGGAAAACCAAATTCTATGATGCAAGAGTTTGAATATTATTAAGCTCCTTAGCTGGTGTGTAAATACCTTTTGTGCAAAGAGATTTTTGATATAATGGCTTTTTTTTTTTTGGCAGTAAGATAAACACCTCTATATTTCAGGGACTGAAATACCTGCTATGCAAATTACTATGGGTAAGATGGCTTTTTAAAAAAAAAAAACAAACTCACTGCCATCAAGTCAATTCTGACTCATAGTGACTCCCTTTGGGTTTCTGAGGTGGTAAATCTTTATGGAAGTAGATTGGCCAGTCTTCCTTCCATGGAGTGGCTGGTAAATTTGAACCTCCAACCTTCGGTTAGCAGTCAAATGCCTTAGGCACTGTACCACCAGAACTCCTTAAGAAATATTTGAACAAAAAACAAGGAAAAGGAAAACTAACCTTTAACTTTGGAATTCTTGCAGGCATTCTGCAAAGGCTCACTGATCTTGGAACACTTGGATGTCTCTTACTGTCCTCAGCTGTCAGATGAGATTATCAAAGCACTGGCCATATACTGCATTAGTCTCACATCTCTGAGCATTGCTGGCTGTCCAAAGGTATGTGTAGGAGTCAGAGCTCAGACAGGCCAAATTGAAGCACTGCCAAAGAACCCAAGTAGGGCAGCTTTTAGGGAATGGCCTTAACACTGAACTTGTTTACTTTGCTATGTCTAAGGCATTCAAGTTTATTTCCTTTCCCCAAACTGAGAATAGCTTTATGATTTCATTTGTGTCAAAGAAGAATTTTCAAAAAGTTTAAAACATAATCTCTCAAAAATATAAAACATGTGCCAAATATTAAATAATTAATGAGTGTACCAGCAGAATGGAAAACCTAAAGCATTAGAATAAATTGAGTATTACAGACATTGAAGAAGGAATGTTGGAATATAATTGTTAGGTTAGATCTAAAATTGATTAATGTCCTACAAGGCAATAAAACCATAATCTTGGAGTTATATTTTCTATAACTAGACAGAAATAATTTGCGTCTCTCATAGAAAAAAATATAATAATCAATAGTAAACAGTATGTCAAACAAAAGTAATGTATAATTTCCTAGGGAATTCTTGTGTGGGCCAGTTAAACAATGCCTCAGTATTACATTGAAAAGGTAGATAATCATAATCACCTTTTTGTCTTACTTTCAAGTTGTTGATAATTTTTCTTCACAATCTGTTTACAAAAGAAATACATATTCATTGTAGTGAATTTAGACTATGTAGAAAAACATACAGGAAAAAGAAAAACATGCTGTCATTCCCCCATCCAGACATAACCATTGTTAGCATTTTATACTTATTTTTCTAGCAATCTCTTCTGTGTACAAAAAGATTAGAAATAATTATAGAAGGCATTTGTTTTGTCTTTTTTTTTTTTTTTAAGAATGGAATCATACATTGCAAGAGTGCATCTTAACCTACTTTCTTTTTACTTAATGTACTACTATGGGTATATTTCTATTTCAATAAATAGAGATCTCATGTACTGGATTAATAGGGCAGATTGAACATACACATGTAATTTTGTTCCCTCTAGAACCTTATCAAAACTATGGCAGAGGGACAAGGGCCCATGTAGATAGGGAAAAAAGGAGACGAGACAAGAGTAACAAAATTTTGGAAGCTTGAAAATAGCCGAACTAATTTAGTAGAACTGAGACAGCTTGGAATCCCAACACAACAATAGAGAAAGCTGAGCAGCAGTCTGATGTACACTAAATCTTCAAAATCCTCAGGACTTTGGCAGCAGCATATACTTCTGGAACTGGGTTAAGAGGGAGATCAACAATGCTCATGGAAGCAGGAGTCAAGAAATCAAACAACATATTGCATTGGACAAATCGGCTGCAACAGACTTCATTAAAGTGTTAAAAGCTACTGTAGGGAAAAACCACTCAGATCTTAAAGGAAGATTCAGAGGTTTTATTTAGCAGTCGAGAGGCATCTGGATGGGAAACCACCACCTCACATAAGTGAAAATGTAGCAATTTCAGAGAGTGGGTCCTGAGCAGGACCAGATATATGGCAAGAAACAAAGAGATTACAGTAAAATCATAAGTTAGTTTTTGATCAAATTTATAAAAGGGAGGGTTAAAAAGTGGGGAAAGGCTCCAATGGATACAAATGCTTAGATATGCTTAGGTGGGCTACAAAGATTTCTTACAATGTACACTTTTCAGAACAGGTTATAAAAATGTCTAGGTTGATGTAAAACACTCCGTGGGGCCAGAGCTGGTCATAAGAATTAATGCTAAGGCTCTTATCTAGAAACTCGTTGCTCGAGTGAAACTTTCTTGGTTACCTGGGAAACGCAGATAACGAGTTGATTGTCCAAGGTTTTTTCTTGGGTCTTTGTTTCTATATCCTTATCCTGAAAGAAGTATTTCTTAAGGCCATTTTACGCTTATGTATCTTTGTCAAAACTTCATTCCTCAGGATCTATTCTTTCCACCTCCTGGCTTGACCACAGACAAAACATTCCACTAGTTATTTATGGTTGCTGAACCAGAGAAAGTTCTCAAGGACAGGCATCTGTGAAAAGTGTCATCCAATTTTGCTGAAAGCAGCATAAACCTGGGTAATTCAGGCATTTTATTTTTGATCAAAAGTTTTAAAATATCTCTTTTATAAAGCAAAGATGTCACTTTGATGAAAGGTGAGCCTGACCCAGTTCCTCAATTGCTTATATGCTTGTGAAAGCTGGACATTAAATAAGGAAAACCAAAGAAGTTTCATTATGGTGTTGGCAAAGAATATTGAATATACATGGACTGCTAGAAGAAAGAACAATTCTGTCTTGGAAGATTGTAGTCTGTAAACTGTGGTGGAATTTGCCATGAGCAACTAACTAGCTCCTGATTGTTAAAGTTATTCACCTGGGGTATTTCTGTTGCAAGTGGCCTGAAGCAATCTTGGGAAGTTCACTCTATCTCAGGTGTAAAGAATTCTGATGTTGGGATTGGTTAGTTTGGCCACTCTGCCAGCCTCAAAAGGAGCCCTTCTAGAGACAGAAGGAGTCTCTCTGACTGCTGGTTGAGAAAGATGTGAGAGACATGAAAGAGACACACTGCTGAGAAAGAGATGTGAGAGACACACATTGCTGAGAGAGAGCCATGCTATGAAGAAAGACTGAGAGATACTGTCAGGTGAAAGACGGCCAGCTGAGAGATGGCTGGCTGAGAGAGACTGACTGCATTCCTGAATTTGAGTTGTAGCCTGTTGCTTCCCTGATTAATCCCATAGTCTGTGAGTGGTGTCTGTGAGTTCTGCATGGCCACTGCAATGAACTGTCGAACCCAGCAGAGAGCTGGTGGGTGGTGTGGGAGGAACAGGTGGTGTCAAGGTTAGTAAGAGGGCTGGGGGGTGGGGGCATGTCTGGACTCGTAAGAACAGGCTTTGGGCTGCTGATGGTGATTCTGTCCTCCTCTTGTGGTTAGAGGTGATCAGAAGTTGCCGCCTTCCTGCCCCTTTTGCAAGACCTAAAGATTGGAGGTTTCCCAACAAATAATCCACCTTCCTGTAAGCCTGTAGTAGAGAAGCCCTACATCACGATTCACACCTTTCAGTCAGTATTTATCAATCAAGAATTACCAAATATGAGGAAAGCCTCTAGAGTTGAAGATAAAGACTAAAACAAATTAATAGGAAAAACTTGGAGGAAATGAAATATGCAGAGAAAAAAAAACTAAAAATAATAATTAATTAAACATCATAAATTACAAGGTCATCAACAACTTTGTTCTTTATTGCACACACTGATGGGCTTTTATTTACTAAAACATCCCCTCACCTCTCAAAAGCCCTTGCACTATAGCTAGTCTACAAATTTACCTTCTCAACTGTTCCATTTTTGTATTGAATGGTTTAAAAGAATGATGTTAAAACCTCCTAATTCTTCTACAGCTAATTGTGCCACAATAAAGAGGGGGTGACAATGAAGGAAAAGATGTGGTAAACCATGACAAAATGGAGCCAGAGAGTTTACAGCAAAACTTTTTAAAAATAACATACATGTTTAGAATTAGGGAAACCAGATGTCTTCCTGGTCAGCATCACCTACTTAATTTGATTTTATCTACTAGTATGCTAGCTGAGCTTCTTTCAAGGGCAAAAACATCCCAAGTAGGGAAATATGTGGAAGCTGCAAGGACTCTTACTCAAAGGAAGTCACAATGCTAGCCTAGACTTAAGGGGGAGGGAAACAGACCCCACTTTTTGTGGAGAGGAGCTGCAAAGCATTGAAACCACCATGCACATATGCTCACAAATAAATAAACATAAAGCAACAGAGCTCTTAAAATGGCCAAATACAGCGTAATATCCAAGGATATGATTCCCCCAGAACCTCCCACTCTCTTGCATGTGTATCCCAAATATTTTCATTATATTTAAAATATTCTTCCTCACGAAAGTTCAGTGATTTATCTATAAGCCAGAGCAAAAACAGACACTGCCCTTTTTGGTCTTTCAGGGCAAGTCATTTTTACTTATTTATTTTAACTGCAAAATCCATTAGTTTATTATTAATTACTCTGAGAGTAAATATTTTACATTGCTGTGATCCATTACAATCATTACATAAAATAATGCATTTTTTCCCCTCACTAATAATATATTAAAAAATGGCCATCAAGTCAATTCTGACTCATAGCAATCCTATATAACAAAGTAGAACTGTCTCATGGGGTTTCCAAGGTTATAATCTTTTTTTTTTCTTTAACTTTTATTTTGGTGAAATCATATACAAGACATTTGCTGACATAACAACTTCCACATGATGACATTTTTCATGTTGTGCCACCGTTATTGTTATTCTTTTCCGAAATACTCCACCACCATTAGCATAAGCTCAATGCGCTGCAAACAAAAGCTTCCCTTTTCCCCCTCTCTCCTACCCCTGGTAACCACTAATAATCTTTGGTGTATATATATATATATATATATATATATATATATTAACAAAGTTTCCTTCTATGTATAAACCTTTCCTTGATTTTTACAATAGTAAAGGAGCTCTGGTAGCATAGTGCCTAAGCACTTGACTGCTAACCAGAAGGCTGGTGGTTCAAACCCACCAGCCACTCCTCGGAAGGAAGAAGGGGCAATCTACTTCCGTAGTGATACTGCTTCGGAAACCCAAGGAGGGATCGCTATGAGTCGGCTCCAACTCAATGGCACATAACAACAACAACAACAGACTAATAAAAAATTTGTCTTTCTGTGATTGACATATTTCACTCAGCATAATATCCTCCAAGTTCATCCATGTTATGTGGTGTTTTGCAGATTGTACATTATTCTTTAAGTTGCATAGTATTCCATTGTATGTATGTACCACAGTTTGTTTATCCATTCCTTGGCTGATGGGCACTTTAGGTGTCTCCATCTCTTTGTTATTGTGAATAGTGCTGCGATGAACATAGGTGTGCATGTATCTATTCATGTCCTGCCTCTCACTTCTTTAGGATATATATCTAGGAATGGGATTGCTGTATCAAATGGTATTTCTATTTCCAACTATTTAAAGATAATCACCATACCGATATTCACAGTGCT